TTCTAAACCAGGCTTCATACCTAACAAGAACAAAAACAAAGTTGCTGGAAAAGCTCAGCAGGTCTGGCAGCATCTGTGAAGGAGAAAACAGAGTTAACATTTCGGGTCTGGTGACCCTTCCTCACAACTGAGGGTGGCTGGGAAAACGTCAGTTTATGTGTAGAAAATAGGGAGGTGGGTAGGGTAGGGAGTAAACGATAGAATAGAGCCCACAGAGAGAGAAAGACAGTTGGACAGACAAAGGAATTGCTAACAATCAGGCTGGGAGGGTGAGTAGTTGTTAATGGGGATTGTTAGTGACTAACAATAGGGGGTGTGTAGTGGCAGGCTGTGTAGTAACAAGGCCTGGTGTGTGGGGTGGGGGGCTGGGACATGGGAGAGTTTAGGCCCTAAAATTATTGAACTCAGTATTGAGTCCGGAGGGCTGTAGGGTCCCCAAGCGGAAAATGAGGTGTTGTTCCTCCAGCTTGCGTTGGGCTTCATTGGAACACTGTAGCAAGCCAGAGACAGAGGTGTTGGCCAGGCTAAGCTTTTCCAGCAACTTTGTTTTTGTTCATACCTAACATGCATTGTCTGACCTAAAATGTCACCTCTTCTTTATGCCGATAAAAAAACCTTTAGTTCTCCCAGGACAGTGACTTGAGAGGAATTTGGGGATTTACATATACATACTAATCAATTAAAACCTTCTAATTGATTAAAGATTTAACAACATCTTACGTTTGTTTAGTACATCCTCAGCAATGGTGTGACCCTTTGATCTTTTACTAATAAATTCTGTGTCTGATACTTCCTCTCTCACTAACACCTGAAGAAGGAGTAAGGCTCCAAAAGCTTGTGTTTTCAAATAAACCCATTGGATTATAGCCTGGTGTCAAGTGAATCCAATGTTACCGAGTCAGATTTGGTCTGGCTTGCTATCCCTGTGTCGCAACAGTATGGACCTCTGAACTTTATTTTCAGAGGTTCACCTCACAAAGGCAATAATACAAATCAAAACCGAAAGAACTGCGGATGCTGTAAATTAGGAACAAAAACAAAGTTGCTGGAAAAGCTCAGCAGGTCTGGCAGTATCTGTGAAGGAGAAAACAGAGTTAACATTTCGGGTCCGGTGACCCTTCCTCAGAACTTAATACAAATACTTCACCTCCCATTTGCATCTTCTAGCTGTTGAATATTTGTCTGCCCATGCTTTTGCAGTACCCTGTGATGCTCCTGTGATTCTTTCTAGAAAAATGGACTTGTAATCCAACACTAAGGATTTATCTTTCGTTTTAAGTACTTCTCTCCAGTCAATTCTAATGGAACTCTAATTTCATGGCCGCAAATCATTTCAAATGGATTAAACCCAGTAGATTTATTTGGTGAATCCCTAGCATCAAATAATTTTAAAAAACTAATCCTTTTGTTCCAATGCTGTGGGTATTCATGGAAATACGTTTTAATTATTGTTTTGAGAGTCCACTGATATCCATCCGACGCTGTGGTGAAGAGAATCCAAGTTTGTCCAAGCTCCCCTTATAGCTAATATACTCCAATCCACGCAACACTTGGTAAAACTCTTTTACATTCTCTCCACATCCTTCCTGTAGTGTGGTGACCAGAACTGTACACAATACTTCAAAAGTGACCCAACTAAAGTTGTATACAGCTGTATACTTGCCAAATTTTATACTCAATGCCCTGACCAAAGAAGGAAAGCATGTCTTCTTTACCACCTTATCCACTTGTATTGCCACTTTCCAGCAGTTATGGACTTTCCCTGTGTATCAATGCTCCGAAGGAAGCCAAACATTTATTTTGAATTATCCTAATTCTTAAATAGAATTTGGACTACTCTAAAACTTGATTGTCATATTAATGTGACCTTTGGTAATGAACTTTGTTTAGCTTTTGCTCTGGTCACTACACACAATGAAAAATTACCTGGAACCTATTGATGTAATTGTTCCATCTGTTTAGCCTCAAATGGATTTTCCATAATTATTGGTGAAGCTGTATCTTTCCGTCCCACAAAATCATTTCCTAGGATAAATCAATTCTGTCCACAGTAATTTCTTAACTACTGTGACTACTACTAATCTGGGCAACAAATCACACTCTAATTGGACTTCGTACAATGGAAACGTGATATAATCTCCAACTATCCCATTTACTGAGGAAGGATCACCGGACCCGAAACGTGAACTCTGATTTCTCTTCACAGATGCTTCCAGACCTGCTGAGCTTTTTCAGCAACTTCTATTTTTGTATCCCATTTACTTTGGCTTTCATTGGAGCCTCTGGAGGAAGACCTATTTCCTTCTCCAGCAACAGTAGCCCTGTATTCCTTACTGTAGTTATGGGCTTGGATGCTTCATTTGAAGAAAAAGCAGTGGTGTAAGCATAGCAGTGTTTATCTCCAGTCTCTTGTAGTTAGTTACAATTTGATCCATGGTGTGACAATGCTGTTGCTTTAAGAGGTTTGCCTTCTCCTGGTTTCTTTTTGGGAGAGCCTGGGGGACAGGTGATGAGCTATGAGAAGATAAACAACTTGTGAAGCCTTGGGTGTTTCTTTTAAGTTAGAACAATAGAAGCAACCTGAATGGGTGGCCAAACTCTCACAGAACCAGGATCTTTTGTTTAGCTTTCAGCAATTGTTGCTGGGGTCTCAGCAGGGTTGGAAGGCAGTGAATTTCTCCCAGCTGCCACACTCTCTCAGAATTGTCTTTTGATGTTCTTTCCTCCTGGACTGGAGACCTGCATGTGAGATAATCTGTTTTCCGAATTTGCCTCTTGCGAAGGGTGTGTTTATGGGACATTGCTATATTGGAACAGTTTTTTTTATAGAATCCCTATGGTGTGGAAACAGGCCCTTTGGCCCAACAAGTCCACACCGACCCTCAGAGCATCCCACCCAGACCCATTCCCCTATAATCCACCTAAACTACACATTCCTGAACACTATGGGGCAATTTAGCACGGCCAATCCACCCTAACCTGCCCATCTTTGGACTGTGGGAGGAAACCCACGCAGACACAGGGAGAATGTGCAAACTCCACACAGACAGTCGCTGAGGCTAGAATTGAACCTGGGTCCCTGGTGCTGTGAGGCAGCAGTGCTAACCACTGAACCACTGTGCCACCCCAGTTGATTAGTAATAGCTACTGTATCTGTTGTTCTATTAAGTTTTCCAAAAGAGTTAAGTTATTCCTTCTTTCTTTGGTTGTATATTAATTGTAGTGGATGAATTAGGTGTATTTTGCTTTAAATCTGGTAGTTTGACCAATCGGATTGCATCTGGAAGGCAACACCTTAGACTTACTTTTAAAATAAGAAAAAGTTCGGGTCTAGACTATCTTCTGAATAGCTTGAGGGAGTTTGATCTGGTATATAACAATGGCCTTTTTCTTTTGAGGTCCTTTAGCAGACTCATTCTTATGCACTCCATAAAATCCCATGTGTTTCCCTTGCAACTTCCAGCATTCTGAATGAATGATATATTTCCATGTCAGGATGTTGAGTAGTGTTGAGGGGAACTTGCAGGGGTGAGTGTTCCCATGCATCTGCTGCCCTTGTCCTTCTAGATGGTGGTGGATGTGAGTTTGAAAGGTGCTGTCCAAGGAGCATTGGTGATATTTTTTCAGTGCACCTTCTAAATTTCAGTGCACATTGTTGTTACTGAGCATTGTTGGTGGAAGGAATGAATGTTTGTGGATGTGGTCCAAATAAAGTGGGCTGCTTTGTCCTGGATGGTATCAAGCTTCTTCAGTTTTGTTGGAGCAGTACTCATCCAGGCAAGTGGGGAGTACTCCTGATAAATGTGAGGTGCTGCATTTTGGAAAGGCGAATCAGAGGAGTACTTAATGGTAAGGTCCTGGGGAGTGTTGTTGAACAAAGGGACCTTGGAGTGCAGGTTTGTAGTTCCTTGAAAGTGGAGTCGCAGGTAGATAGGACAGTGAAGAAAGTGTTCGGTATGCTTGCCTTTATTGGTCTGTACATTGAGTATTGGAGTTGGGAGGTCATGTTGCAGCTGTACAGGACTATTGGTTCAGCCATTTTTGGAGTATTGCGTGCAATTCTGTTCTCCCTCCTATAGGAAGAATGTTGTGAAACTTGAAAGGGTTCAGAAAAGATTTAGGAAGATGTTGCCAGGTTTGGAGGGTTTGAGCTGCAGGGAGAGGCTGAATAGACTGGGGCTGTTTTCCCTGGAGTCTCGGAGGCTGAAGGGTGGCCTCATAGAGGTTTATAAGATCCTGAGGGGCAGGAATAGGATAAATAGACAAGGTCTTTTCCCTGTGGTGGGGGAGTTAAAAGTAGAGGGCATAGGTTTAAGGTGAGAGGGGAAAGATTTAAAAGGCACCTAAAGGGCAATGTTTTCACACAGAGGGTGGTGCGTGTATGGAATGAGCTGCCAGAGGAAGTGGTGAAGGCTGGTATGATTACAACATTTAAAAGGCATTTGGCTGGATATGCGAATAGGAAGGGTTTAGAGGGATATGTGGCAAATGCTAGCAAATGGAACTAGTTTTATATAGGATATCTAGTCAGCATGGACGAATTTGACTGAAGGGTCTATTTCCGTGCTGTATATCTTTATGACAGAATGACTCCCAAAGCAGCTGCTTCCTGACTGTATAACTCCAAGCTGCCACCCCAACTGGGTCTGTCCTGCTTATGGGACAGGACATACTGAGGGATGATGATGGTGCTTTCTGGGATATTGTGTGAGTAAGGTATGATTCTGTGAACACGACTTTGTCGGGCTATTGCTTGATTAGGCTGTGCGACAGCTTCCCTAATTTTGGCACTTGGCTATAGACGTGGTTAAGGAGGGCATTGCATCATTGAGAAGGCCGAGTTTGTCGTTGTCCTTTCTGGTGCCTAGTTCAATGCCAGAACAGCTTGGGTAAGGGTGTGGCCAACTCTCTCAGGGCCCAGAACAATGGCAGCATCCAGTACCTCTCACTGTTGCTTCATATCATGTGAAGTGAATCAAATTGGTTGAAGATTGGCATCAATGAAGCAGGACCTCTCAAGAGGAGGCCACGATGGATTAGCCACCCAGTACGTCTGTCTGAAGATGGATGGAGTTAGTAGTACTAATGATAAAGATATGGTGGTTGGAGTTGTTGGTTGGTTCACCGAGCTGACTGGTTTTCGTGCAAACATTTCGTCTCCTTTCCAGATGACATCTTCAGTGCTGTCTAGCCTCCATTGAAGCACTGTTGTTCTGTTCCGTTTTGAATTTATATGGTCCGGTCTGTTATGGTGGGCAGTTCTGTTTCTGGTTTTGCTCCGTAATGGTATGTAGATGGGGTCTATTTCAATATGTTTGTTTATGGTACCAGTGGTTGAAAACCAGGCTTCCAGGAATTCTCGTGCTTGTCTTTGTTTTGTTTGTCCTAGTCGGAGTGAATAGAAACGGGGGATAATTGGCCCTGCCATTTTGCTACAAGTTGGCGTTTGTGAATCCTAGAGGCGAGTTTCCTGCCCGTCTGTCCCTATGTATTGCTTCTCGCAGTTGCTGTACGGTATTTTGTACATCACATTTGTCCTGCTCATTGTGGGTATTGGGTCTTTCATCTTAAGAGTAGCTGATCTTCGCTAAAACGTTAAAGATATGGTGTTTGTATTGAATAAATATTTTGCTTCTGTCTTCAATATAGAGGATACATTTAAAAATCCCTCAGTAGATATAAATCAGAGGAAGCAGCCCTTGACATTGTCCCACAGTTATGAGGCACTTGTTCCCTGCGTGGATGAGGAACAGGGCTGCAGGAAGGATGAGTGAACTGACCATGGCACCATGGTCCAGGAGGCCATTCAAGAGGGGGGAGGAAAAAGACAGATTGTAGTTGTAGGGGATTCCATCATCAGGGGGATAGACAGTATCCTTTGCAAGCAGGATAGAGAATCCCGCATGGTGTGTTGCCTGCCTGGTGCCAGGGTGCGAGACATCTCTGACCGGCTTGAGAGGATACTAGAGAGGAAGGGGGAGGATCCAGTTGTTGTGGTCCACGTAGATACCAACAACATAGGCAGGACTAGGAAAAAAGACTGTTTCGGGATTATGAAAAGCTAGGAACAAAATTAAAAAACAAGTCTTCAAGAGTCATAATCTCTGGATTGCTGCCTGAGCCACGTGCAAATTGGCTTAGGGAGGTGAGGATCAGGCAAGTAAACACTTGGCTAAAAGAGTGGTGTGGGAAAGAGGGTTTCCTTTTCATGGGGCACTGGCATCAGTTCTGGGACAGGAGGGATCTATACCGCTGGGATGGACTCCACCTGAACAGGGCCGGGTCCAGTGTTCTGGCGAAAAGGGTAAATAGGGTGGTTAATAGGACTTTAAACTAGTAAGTAGGGGGGAAGGGAGAAGTGAGCGTAGAGGGAGAATAACAATTAATGTAAGGCAAAGCAGCAGGTTAGCAGGTGACGAGGAAGCTTCAACTCCATTGAAAATTAGGAAAAAAGTTAAAGGGAAGGAGAACTCAAGAGCTGTTAGTAATGGAGGTAATAGGACCCAAAAAGAAGGTGCAAAAACTGGCATAAGGGCACTTTATCTGAATGCTCAGACCATTCGAAACAAGGTGGATGAGTTGACGGTGCAAATCATGGCAAATGGGTATGCCATTACAGAGACATGGTTACAGGATGGTCATATCCAGGGGTATCAAACTGTTCGGAAGGACAGACAGGAAGGTAAGTGAGGTGGTGTTGCTCTGATTTTTAAGGATGATATCAGGGCGGTAGTGAGAGATGATACAGGTTCTACTGAACAAAATGTTGAATCCATTTGGGTGGAAATTAGGAATAGCAGGGAGAAGAAGTCACTGATAGGTATGGTCTATAGGCCACCAAATAATGACATCATGGTGGGGCGGGCAATAAACATAGAAATAGCTAATGCATGTAAAAATGGTACAGCAATTATTATGGGGGATTTTAATCTACATATCGATTGGTCAAACCAGGTCGGTCATGGCAGCCTTGAGGAGGGGTTCATAGAATGTATCCGCGATAATTTCCTTGAACAATATGTAATGGAACCTACGAGGGAGCAAGCTATCCTAGATCTAGTCCTATGTAATGAGACAGGAATAATTAATGATCTCACAGTTAGGGATCCTCTCGGAAGGAGCGATCACAGTATGGTCAAATTTAAAATACGGATGGAGCGTGAGAAGGTTAAATCCTGTACCTATGTCCTGTGCTTAAACAAAGGACAGTATGAAGGAATGAGGGAGGAGTTAGCTAAGGTAGGATGGGAGCAAAAACTTTATGGTGGGTCAATTCAGGAACAGTGGAGGACTTTCAAAACGATTTTTCACAGTGCTCAGCCGAAGTATATTCCAGTGATAAGGAAGAATTGTAGGAAAAGAGAGAGCCAGCCATGGATGTCTAAGGAAATAAAGGAAAGTATCAGATTGAAAAAAAAACACATACAAAAAAGCAAAGAGTAGTGGGAAACTAGTAGACTGGGAAATCTTTAAAGGCCAACAGAAAGCCACAAAAAAAGTTATAAAGAAAAGTAAGATAGATTATGAGAGTAAACTAGCTCAGAATATAAAAACAGGCAGCAAAAGTTTCTATAAATATGTAAATCGCAATCGAGTGGCGAAGGTAAACATTGGTCCTTTATAGGATGAGAAGGCCAATTTAATAACTGGGAATGAGGAAATAGCCGAGACATTAAACAGTTATTTCGTGTCGGTCTTCACAGTGGAAGACACAAATAACGTGCCGAAAACTAATGGCAAGAAAGTTATAGCAGGTGAGGACCTAGAAACTATCATTATCACTAAGGAGGCAGTGCTGGGCAAGCTAATGGGGCTAAAGGTAGACAAGTCTCCTGGCCCTGATGAAATGCATCCCAGGGTACTAAAAGAGGTGATGGGGGAAATAGCAAATGCACTAGTAATTATTTACCAAAATTCACTGGACTCTGGGGTGGTCTTATGAAGGTCTTACGAGGAAAGGCTGAGGGACTTGAGGCTGTTTTCGTTAGAGAGAAGGTTAGAGGTGACTTAATAGAGACATACAAGATGATCAGAGGATTAGATAGGGTGGACAATGGGAGCCTTTTTCCTCGGATGGTGATGGCTAGCACGAGGGGACATAGCTTTAAATTGAGGGGTGATAGATATAGGACAGATGTCAGAGGTAGGTTCTTTACTCAGAGAGTAGTAAGGGCGTGGAATGCCCTGCCTGCAAAAGTAGTAGACTCGCCAACTTTAAGGGCATTTAAATGGTCATTGGATAAACATATGGATGATAATGGAATAGTTTAGATTAGATGGGCTTCAGATTGGTTTCACAGGTCGGCGCAACATCGAGGGCCGAAGGGCCTGTACTGCACTGTAATGTTCTATGTTTTATGTTCTATGGTTCCCGCACATTGGAAAACAGCCAATGTGACGCCACTGTTTAAAAAAGGAAGTAAACAAAAAGCTGGTAACTATAGGCCAGTTAGCTTAACTTCGGTAGTGGGGAAAATGCTTGAATCTATCGTTAAGGAAGAAATAGCAAGACATCTGGATATAAATTGTCCCACTGGAAACATCCAGCATGGGTTCATGAAGGGTAGGTCATGTTTAACTGATGTGGTGGAATTCTTTGAGGACAGTACTTGCATGGTGGACAATGGGGAACCTGTGGATGTGGTGCATCTGGATTTCCAGAAGGCATTTGACAAGGTGCCACACCAAAGGCTGCTACATAAGATAAAGTTGCACGGTATTACAGGTAATGTATTGGCATGGATAGAGGATTGGTTGACCAGTAGAAAGCAAAGAGTAGGGGTAAACGGGTGTTTTTCTGGTTGGCGGTCAGTGGCTAGTGGTGTGCCTCAGGGATCAGTGTTGGGACCGCAATTGTTTACAATTTACATAGATGATTTGGAGTTGGGGACTAAGTGTGGTGTGTCAAAATTTGCAGATGACACTAAGGTGAGTGGTAGAGCAAAGTGTGCAGAAGACACTGAAAGTCTGCAGAGGGATATAGATAGTCTAAGTGAGCGGGCAAAGGTCTGGCAGATGGAATACAATGTTGATAAGTGTGAGGTCATCCATTTTGGTAGGAATAACAGGAAAATGGACTATGTTTTAAATGGTAAAAAATTGCAGCACGCTGCTGTGCAGAGGGACTTGGGTCTCCTTGTGCATGAATCGCTAAAAGTAGGATTGCAGGTGCAGCAGGTAATTAAAAAGGCAAATGGAATTTTGTCTGCCATTGCTAGAGGGATGGAGTTTAAAAACAGGGAGGCTATGCTGCAGCTGTATAGGGTCCTGCTGAGGCCACACCTGGAGTACTGTGTGCAGTTTTGGTCTCCTTACTTGAGAAGAGATATACTAGCACTGGAGGGGGTGCAGAGGAGATTCACTCGGTTGATTCCAGAGTTGAGAGGGTTGGATTATGAAGAGAGACTGAGTAGACTGGGATTATACTCATTGGAATTCAGAAGAATGAGGGGAGATCTTATAGAAACATATAAGATTATGAAGGGAATAGATAAAGTGGAGGCAGGGAGGTTGTTTCCGCTAGCAGGTGAAACTAGGACTAGAGGGCATCACCTCAAAATAAAGGGAAGCAGATGTAGGACTGAGGTCAGGAGGAACTTCTTCACCCAAAGGGTTGTGAATCTGTGGAATTTCCTGCCCAGTGAAGCGGTTGAAGCTACCTCGCTGAATGTTTTTAAGGCAAGGCTAGATAAATTTTTGAACAGTAAAGGAATTAAGGGTTGTAGTGAGTGGGCGGATAAGTGGAGCTGAGTCTCAAAAAGATCAGCCATGATCTTATTAAATGGCGGAGCAGGCTCGAGGGGCCAGATGGCCTGCTCCAGCTCCTAGGTCTTAAGTTCTTATGAAGACAAAACGATAATCATGAGGAAAGCATTTCTGACCAAACTGATGGATTTGCAAGTTGTTGTGTCATGGTTATAACTCCATCCTGAGGTCTTGAAGAAGGTGATTAATGAGATGTTAGAGGTGTGAATGAGGTGTCAAATTTCCAAATTTTGTTGATTCTAGCAAGATTCAATCAGACTGAAAAGTTACAAATTTAATCTGTCTATTCCAGGAAAGGAAAGAGGCGGAAAACAGGAAACTGTAGGCCAGGTAGCTTGATGTCTTCATGGGGAAGCTTTTAGAATCTGTCATTAAGGAGGCCATAAGTGCACACTTGGTGAACCTCAAGATAAGTGGAAAGACTCCGCAAAGTTTTGTGAAAGGGAAATCATATTTACCCATATTTATTGGAACTCTTTGAAGGAAGAACATATGCTGTGGATATATGGGAGCTCACTGGTGAAGGTGAAGATGGTTGGGCCTAAGACACTACCTTGAAGAACCCCTGCAGACATGTCCTGGAGCTGAGATGACTGACCTCCAACAACCACAACCATCTTCCTTTGTGCCAGGTATGACTCCAGTCAATGGAGTTTGCCCCTGATACCCATTAATTCCAGTTTTGTTCAGGCTCTTTGAGTTAAAGGCTGTCACTCTCAGCTCACCTGGAATTCAGCTCTTTTGTCCATGGTTGAACCAAGGCTGTAATGAGGTCAGGAGCTGAGTGACCCTGGCGAAACCTAAACTGGGCGTCACTGAGCATGTTATTACTGAGCAGGTGCTGCTTGATAGCACTGTTGTTGACACCTTCCATCACTTTACTAATGATCTAAAGTAGACTATGGGGCAGTAATTCGGTCGGTTGGATTTGTGCTGCATTTTATGTCCAGGACTTACCTGGGAAAATTTCCACATTGTCGGGTAGGTGCCAGTATTGTAACTGTACTGGAAGAGCTTGAGGAGCAGCAAGTTCTGGAGCACAAGTACTATTGCCAGAATGTTGTCAGAGCCCAGAGCCTTTGCAGTATCCACAGCCTCCAACTGTTTCTTGATATCACATGGAGTGAATTGAATTGGCTAACGACTGGTATCGAAAATGCTGGGGACCACTGGAGGAGACCGGAATAAATCATCCATTCGGCACTTCTGGCTAAAGATTGCTGCGATTGGAGAATGAGTGCAGAATTCCAAGGAGCAGAGGGATCCAGGCACTCTAATACACAAGTCAAGAAAAGTTGGGATGGGAGTAGGGCAAGTGATTAAGAATTGTAGAATCCCTAGTGTGGAAGCAGACCATTCAGCACATCAAGTCCACACCGACCCTCTAAAGAGTATCCAACCCCAGACCTAGCCCTATCACCTTGCATTTTCCCATTGCTAATCCACCCAGTCTGTATGTCCCCGGGCACTACAGGGCAATTTACCATGGTCAATCCACCGAACCTGCATAGCTTTGAACTGTCGGAGGAAACCAGAGCACCCAGAGGAAACGCACAAACACAGGAAAAACATGCAAACTCCATACGGACAGTCACCCAAGGCTGGAATCAAACGTGGGTCCCTGGCGCTGTTAGGCAGCAGTGATAACCGCTGAGCCAGCGTGCTGCTAGGGGCCTGCAAGTATGAGAGGAAATGAGCATAAAAGTATTTCAGAGATAGTAGGAACTGCAGATGCTGGAGAATCTGAGATAACAAGGTGTAGAGCTGGATGAACACAGCAGGCCAAGAAGCATCAGAGGAGCAAGAAAGCTGACATTTCGGGCCTAGATCCTTCTTCAGAAATGGGGGAGGGGAAGAGGGTTCTGAAATAAATAGGGAGAGAGGGGGAGGCGGATAGAAGATGGATAAAGGAGAAGGTAGGTGGAGAGGAGACAGACAGGTCAAAGAGTCCTTGGTCCAGCAACTCCCCACCAACGTCCTTGACACCACCCACGCCCTCCATCTCCTCCAAAACTTCCAATTCCCTGGTCCCCAACACCTCATCTTCACCATGGACGTCCAGTCCCTATACACTTGCATTCCCCATGCAGACGGCCTAAAGGCCCTCCGCTTCATCCTGTCCCGCAGGCCCAACCAGTCCCCCTCCACTGACACCCTCATCCGCTTAGCCGAACTCATCCTCACCCTTAACTTCTCTTTCAATTCCTCCCACTTCCTACAGACAAAGGGGGTGGCCACGGGTACCCGCATGGGCCCAAGCTATGCCTGCCTTTTTGTAGGTGACGTGGAACAATCCCTCTTCCATTCCTACACTGGCCCTAAACCCCACCTCTTCCTCCGTTACATCGATGACTGTATCGGCGCCACCTCGTGCTCCCACGAGGAGCTCGAACAGTTCATACACTTCACCAACACCTTCCACCCCAACCTTAAGTTCACCTGGACCATCTCTGATACCTCTCTCTCCTTCCTGGACCTCTCTGTTTCCATCTCTGGCAATCACCTGGAAACCGATATCCATTTCAAGCCCATCGACTCCCATAGCTACCTAGAATACCCCTCCTCCCACCCACCTTCCTGCAAAAATGCTATCCCCTATTCCCAATTCCTTCACCTCCACTGCATCTGCTCCCAGGATGAGGCTTTCCACTCCCGAACATCTCAGATGTCCTCGTTTTTCAAGGACTGCAACTTCACCCGCTCAGTGGTCGAGAACACCCTTGACTGTGTCTTCCGCATTTCCCGCAACTCATCCCTAACACCCCCTCCCCACAATAACAACCAAAACAGAATCTTCCTCATCCTCACGTACCACCCCACCAACCTCCGGATCCAACGCATCATCCTCCGACACTTCCGCCATCTGCAATCCGACCCCACCACCAAAGACATTTTTCCCTCCCCACCCTTATCTGCTTTCCAGAGGGACCATTCTCTCCGTGACTCCCTTGTCTGCTCCACACTCCCCTCCAGCCCCACCACACTCGGCACTTTTCCCTGCAACCGCAGGAAGTGCTATACCTGCCCCTACACCTCCCCCCTCACCCCCATCCCAGGCCCCAAGAAGACCTTCCACATCAAGCAGATGTTCACCTGCACATCTGCTAATGTGGTAAACTGTATCCGCTGTTCCCGTTGTGGCCTCCTCTACATCGGGGAAGCCAAGCGGAGGCTTGGAGACCGCTTTGCGGAACACCTACGCTCGGTTCGCACTAAACAACTGCACCTCCCAGTCGCAAACCATTTCAACTCCCTCTCCCACTGCTTAGACGACATGTCCATCCTGGGCCTCCTGCAGTGCCACAATGATGCCACCCGAAGGTTGCAGGAACAGCACCTCATATTTCGCTTGGGAACCCTGCAGCCCAATGGTATCAATGTGGACTTCACAAGCTTCAAAATCTCCCCTCCCCCTACCGCATCCCAAAACCAGCCCAGCTTGTCCCCGCCTCCCTAAACTGTCCTTCCTCCCACCTATCCCCTCCTCCCACCTCAAACCCTACCCCCATCTACCTACCAGCCTCATCCCACCTCCATGACCTGTCCGTCCTCCATGGACTGACCTATCCCTCCCTAACTCCCCACCTACACTCACCTTTACCGGCTCCATCCCCGTCTCTTTGACCTGTCTGTCTCCTCTCCACCTATCTTCTCCTTTATCCATCTTCTATCCGCTTCCCCCATTTCTCCCTATTTATTTCAGAATCCCCTTCCCCTCCCCCATTTCTGAAGAAGGGTCTAGGCCCGAAACGTCAGCTTTCCTGCTCCTCTGATGCTGCTTGACCTGCTGTGTTCATCCAGCTCTACACTTTATTATCTGAGCATGAAAGTGAGCAGGTAATGCTACAGTTACAAAGGGCATCGACGAAACCACATCTTAAATGCTGTGTGTATTTCAGTATTCTTATTTGATGAAGGATGTAAATGTAGTGGAGGCACTTCAGATGGGATATACCAGACTGAGACTGAAGTGAGCAGGGTGCCTTATGAGTGAACATTGGACAGGTTGGACTTGTTTCTACTGGAGTTTGGAAGAGTGAGGGGGATTTTGATTGAAGTTTATAAGATCCTGAATGATCTTGACAACGTGAATTTGTAGAGAATGTTTCCTTTTGTGGTTGAATCTGGAACTGGGGACACATTTAAAATTAGGGGGTTCTCCTTTTAGTGCAGTGATGAGAGGAAGTATCCTCTCTCAGAGTGTTATGAGACTTAAGAACTCTGCCTTAGAAGACAATGTAGGTGGGGCCATTGAATGTTTTTAAAGCAGAAGTAATTTGTTTTCTGTTTGGAAGGGAATGAAAGGCTATTGGGGGATATGCCTGTTCATCTGAAGTCAGCAATTATGCCATCCAAACCTTTTAAACAAAGCTAAATGAAAAGGTATACATTTAAAAGGCAAAGAATTGTGTGAATTCTGGAATCCAGAACAAGAAAAAAACAATTATTTTAACGTCAACAATCACTCCTTTCACAGAAATCAGGACAAGTACGACAGCAACAGCCCAAGACACATGCAGTACCACCAAAGATACCAGCACACGCAGCAGCATATCCAGTACCATCGATGATACCAGCACATCCAGCAGCACATCCAGTACCACCGATGATACCAGCACATCCAGCAGCATATCCAGTACCATCGATGATACCAGCACACCCAGCAGCACATCCATTACCACCAGCAGCACAAATACACCCAGCAGCACATCCATTACCACCAGCACACCCAGCAGCACATCCATTACAACCAGCAGCACTAACACACCCAGCAGCACGTCTGTTACCACCAGCAGCACCAACACACCCAGCAGCACATCCAGCTCCACAAAGAGTACCAGCACACCCAGTAGCACATCCATCACCATCAGCAGCAACAACACACCCAGCAGCACATCCATCACCACCAGCAGCACCAACACACCCAGCAGCACGTCTGTTACCACCAGCAGCACTAACACACCCAGCAGCACATCCAGCTCCACAAAGAGTACCAGCACACCCAGCAGCACATCCATCACCACCAGCAGTACCAACACACCCAGCAGCACATCTGTTACCACCACCAGCACCA